CAGTCGGGCAGCTTGGCTGTTTGTAGGAAGCCATCACTGACCAAGGTATCTTTCTAACGCATTCCAGCTGCTACAACAAGACGTGCATTGTGTTTACCGCAGTGTGCTGTGGGATTGTGAATCAGAATCGCTGCCGTCATTGGCGACACAGTCGGGCGGCGAGGCGGAGCTCAGGGTTGACATGGCGGCCCAAGATGTCGGTCAGACATTTGGCTCCAGTGTTGATTTTTCCACCGCTGGCTCCACCACCTCCTCTGCCATTCATGACTGCAAGCTCCCTGGAAATGTGTTCAACAAGGGGATTTTATCCCTGTCGGTGGCTCTGGTAGAAGGAAAGAGTTTGTGGGGGAACGCCGTCTTCAGAGGAGGCTTAAGGAAACCGGCAGCAGGAGAAAGATTTGCTCCAGGAAATAAGAAAAAAAGCACATCTTACAGATTAGTTTGAAATAATCACATTTGCACAGAAGAATACTTAGATAGAGTCTCTAGTATCATTGGATCTGCTTGATCATTTACTTCATAAAGGTTTTGACTGAGTAGATTAACTAATTCAAAACCTGGTGCTGATGGTAAAAATAAAACTTTTGGTGATCCTTAGACACAGAGACAGGATATAAACCGTCGTGAGCAGTGAAACCGAACCAGCTCCAGATGATTATGGGTTTGGAATCATAGATTTGCAGTGTCCTTTGAGAAATGAAAGCTAAGGCACATCTGCAGATTACGCCTTGTAAATGTCGTCGTGAAGGTCCCAATCTGCATTTGATTTTCATTTTGAACACAGCCCCCACCGTCCTGCCACAGCTGGGTGTTATGGAAGACTTCTGCCACTTGGGGGCGATGTTGCAATCTTGGGCAAAAATAGAGTGGATTGCAAACCCTATACTTTGCTATCACCTTTATATATTGAGGATTTATGTCACACAGGATGTTAGGCACCCCCCCGCCGCCCCATTTATCTGAATAACAGTTTATTTTCCCAATTTCCCACTTGCGATCACAGCACAATGTCACGGTACTGTTAGACTCGAGCAAGCAATGACGTTAGCTTGGGAGCATGCCAGAATTCCCTTCTTGCCCATGACAGAACTTTGCTCCCCCCTCCCGATTAGTATCCAAGTTGCATCTGTCCCAAAACATGACATGCTTCCCTATCAGCGGAAAAGAAAGAATGCGAATCCTGCTAATACACAAAAGTGCTTAACAGGCCGCTTTGGAGCCATCAGCAGTGCTGGGGATAGGAATCAGCTCTCACTAGTGTCTGAATTACAGGCAGGCTATTCATTACGCAGCAGGGGGCGTATAATTGTAGCTGTGTTCACTCTTTATGCGAACAGTTATATATCATTGTTCTTCGGCTTCTGCTTCCAGTTTTGGTGGCAAGATGATATTTCCAAGATGGCCCCAGAAGGTTTGGATCTGCTCTGTCTTTGGTCGGTAGCGCTTGGCGACAGCGATAGAGCAGAGAGGCGCTTTTCTCCACTGACGGGCATGTTAATCTTTGAGCCGTTGGCATTCAGGTTGGCGAGACTGATTCTGACACCCAACTGTGCTCTGAGACTGGAGGAGAGGGACTGCCTGGAGGGATCAGGTCTGTCTCACTGGCAACCCCCAGCTCCTTACTCAGTGCCCTGATAGACCGACCAGGGCAGGTTATCCAAGGTCAGTATGAAATCGATGGGAGGCTCCTTGTTATCTGTTTTGTTCCCATTTGGCTGTGCCTCTCTGCTTCACTCGGCGTTATGCTGTAACCATACTTTGCCCCCCAGGTCACTTATGCTCCCTGAAGGTCACAGGCTGGTCACAGCCTTTGTCAGTGGCTGAATTTATAGTTCTGAGAAGCCAGGGAATGCAGCAGCCATCTCTGAATAGCGTATTAAGAATGTTATTTTAAGATTCATGATTATTAAAACCAGACTAAGACCAGGGTGGGAGCTAATTAAGGCATTAAACTGTCTTAAAGACTCAGTGTGCCATCCAGCTGTGGCATCACAGCGGTCTGTGATGTGATCTTCATCTCAGCATCCATACAATGCTTTATGATGACGACTGAACAAAAATGCGATCCTTAATGCTTTCTTCTATTTATGCAAATAGAATATTCTGACAACTCGTCCGAGATCCTCGTGGACACGGTTTAAGTGCCAGAGCCTGTTAAATTGCCATTAAGAGACAAAACTGACACTATTTTGATGGGTAGAGATTTAGAAGCAGGCTGGGTGCGGAAGGCTGCCCTCAAACAGGCTGTCTGGTTGCAGTAACACTGCGCTATATGGTCCCCCTCATGCTCTTTTTTGCAGTGACACTGTGCTGTATGGTCCCCCTCATGCTCCTATTTGCAGTAACACTGCGCTGTATGGTCCCCCTCATGCTTTGGTTGCAGTAACACTGCGCTATATGGTCCCCCTCATGCTCTTTTATGCAGTAACAGTGCGCTGTATGGTCCCCCTCATGCTCTGGTTGCAGTGACACTGGCAGTATGGTCCCCCTCATGCTCTTTTTTGCAGTGACACTGCGCTGTATGGTCCCCCTCATGCTCACGCTCGTTAATGGCAGGGGTGAGTCAAGCTGACCCCCTGGGGCCAGGCGGCTGTGAGAGCAGCTCCCACCAAAGGGAAACTGGTAACGGAATTCCTGGGTCTCCTGCCCACTGTGACCAAAGGCTCTCTATTAAATATTAAAGTGAACTGACACACAGAACAAAAAAGAAGCCCCAAATATCTTGTGGGAAATTATTATTTGAAGTATCAAATTTACTAGCAAAATGTGTTTTAAGATTTTGATGGGCAGGAAGGCTGCAGTCGCTCTTGCTTGTCTGCAGCGGTCTTGCCTTTTTGTGCTATTTCTTCGCCTGGCCCATCGCTACACTAAATGCTTTCTTCTCCATCAGTTGCCCTTGTCCGCATCCAGTGTTTATCCCCTTTTTTAAAATTCAGGCATTTGTTTTATGGTGGTTTCGTGACTCATGTTTCATGGCACCAAAATCAGTGAAGTCCTCAGGCATAATTGTTATTGGTAATGTTCACCATCCAACTTGTTCAAAAAACACTGAATTTTGGGACAAAACACAGCATTGTCTGGGATATTGCCTTTGACAGCATTGGCCTATAATGATTCTCATCCCGGCCAACACCATAAAACAGTAAACATGACTGTGGTGAGCTGGTTTTACGTCTATGTGATCCGTCGATAATCGTCCACCATGCAGCATCATGCTCCCTGATGCCGAATCTACACAAATGACTGCCCACATTGGGTCATGCAGCTTACGGGGGTTAACTAATTACTTTGTTCACAATTCTTAAGGGTATTGCCCTACACTGTCTTCTTTGGCAGGCTTTAAAGACAATTATCTGAAACCAAGCAGTAAAACTATTCAGTAAAAGTTACTGGCTTTCATAAGGGCCAGCAGAGGATTACAATACTGTGTACAAGCGTTCAGACCCTTGACAAACACACATTTTGCTGGGCCAGTGTAAAACAGTGGTAGATGCTTCACCCAAAAAGACTTGAGGCTGGCATTTCTGCAGAAGGTGCTTGCAACAAATTTTGAGTTCAAGGGTTTCGATACTTGTGTAAACAGCATATTTTCAGTTAATTTAAAAAATGTGACGTAAAACTCATGTTGACTTCATTTGGACTATAATTATTTGAATTAAAATTCCACACAGAATGATATATTAAAGCATCTTTTTGTTACCCGGTGAAATGTGTGATTCTGACATGGGCCTGGACACGTTGCACGTTCTGGCCTCTTTCAGTCATATGGCGCGGCTGGGATCCCGGACACAGGGACCGGCAGCGCTGCCCCTCGTCCCAAAGAGAAGGGTTACAGGCAGAGTCGCTGTTTATGTCTCAGCTCTGTTTCACATTGCAGCTTTCTCTGTTCCCCACAAACCCAGTGCTTTTATTCAAAATCTGAGTGAAAAACCATGGGATTTCACATAATCCATAGTATTAAAGCAAATATCCTGCGACTTCATGTCAGTGACTTTAGAGGAATTCTTTTATTTAAAAAATATTAAATTCCCTGAAACAACCTTTCAGTCACCATGACCTTGTATTGAAGAAGTGGTTTGGAAGCCGAATGGATGGCACTGGGGAACACTGTCACCCAGCGTTAGGGACTCTAATGGCATCTGCATCCCTTGTGCTGGGCATGGCATGTTCCATCTGTGTTCAGCTAGTTTCCTTCTGCAGTACACAGCCATGAAGGTAGACATATTGGAAGCCATACATCAGGGTTCCCCAGTCCCGGTTCTGCAGGTCCAGTCTGCAACACACTTTGCAGATTTCTCGGCTCAAATACCCTTACTAATCCTGGCAGCTGACTGGTGGGCTGTGTAAGGTGTGTTTTGAGCAGGGAATTCTGCATCTGGCCGTCCAGGACCACAACTGAGGAACCCTGTCCTAAATTATCTGCAATGGCTGATTGTGTTGGTTAACTTATGAGGCCTGTGTCTTTTGATGGATTGGCATTCTGTCAGGGTGAACCTCTGCTTTGTGCCCTATGCTGTCTGTAATAGGTGCCAGACCCCTGGCAATCCAGTCCAGGATAAATTATTGAAAGTTGTTTGGGATAAATATATAGCATATAAGTGTTATAATCCTTAAGTTGTTTACAGAGGACCCGCCATCGTGGTCATGTAGTAATTAGACGATAGATGGATTGGCGTTCACAGGGTAATGTCGTCAGAAATGTTTTATCTGAATAAGAATTTGAAAGATGGATTGAACAGGCTCAGAATATTAAAGATGATCTATCTTATAGGACATGTGCAATTGCTATCAGACTGCAGCGTGATGCAGTGACATGATCTATATTTATAAATGTTTTTTGTGCACCAAGTTGAAATTAATTTGCGCAGCATCTAAAAATCGGAGCAATAACGATTAATGATATTTGGTAGGTATTGCAACACGTTACACTGAAGAAACAAATGAAAGCGGTCTTATAAGAGCTGTTCCTAGCTGGGGGGGGGGAGTTGCATTGTGGGTCTGTGAAACTGATCCAGCGGAGTGGAGATGGCGCTGCGTACAGTGTGAGCGGCTCGGCAGGCAAAGTTTGGAGAAGCGGCGGAGTTCGGCGGAGTACAGGAGAGCCGCGCTTTAACAGGGACTCGTCTTTTTCTCCGCGATATTAATATTTCCACATGGCTCTGTAGAAAAATCCGAGGTGGTAATGCATCGTTTTCTGCAGGGGGTTTTGTAAAGCCGAACAGCGAGTTCGGAAGACTTTACCGCAAAAGTGCGTGTGCTTCGGGACTTTGTATCTCAGTGGGGTTTCGTGCCGTTCTACACCGGGGCGAGTAAATGAGATACGCGGAGCTGCCGGGCTGTATTACGGGATTTCATGACCGAGGCGGGCTTAGTTTCGCTATCATGAATTATCAACGGGGGGGTCAAGTCGAAAACTGATAAAAAGCCATGAACGACCCCCGCGATAAGGACTTGACACCCGTTCCGAGGAAGCGCCGCCTCATGGCTGCAGTGCTGCACGGGGAAGAGAGCGCATTGCCCGGCGATGGACCCAGACTGGACCGGAACGGGATAGGACTGATTTACTGTTTCGTTTGTGGGAATGGTGTGACAGCCGGCAAAGAACTGAAATTGCAGGTCAGGCACCGGAGAGATAAGGATCCGTTTTTCCCGTTTCTGCAGCACCAGGAACCGGCCCCGGGGGCTGCCGAGGTGGCCGCGGACGGATGCGTGCTGGTCTGCGCCGTGTGTCACTGCTTTCTCGGCGAGCAGTGGAACTCTTTCGAAAGGTCCCGTACGCCGCTGGAGAAGCGCATGTACTGGCTGAAGAGGCCGTACCAGTGCGACTCCAGGAGGGTGCCCCAGGACTGGGACGCGTCTTACGACCTGGAGCAGAGGGTCAGCACGGGCAGCCGGCACTGCGACGCCACCGACTCGGACTCCTCCACCTTCTCCGACAACGACAACGCGTCCGACCGGGAGCTGGATTTCATCGGCAGAGCCGGCGCCAGCAAGGAAAAAAGTTTTCGGCTGTCCGGGTACAGAGACGGCGCTGGGAAAAACTGCGGCGTCAGTGTGAAAAACAGCCCCGATTCTCAGCGGCTGCTCCGGTGCACTGCGCAGGATTCCCTGAAATCAGATGGCACTTCGTCGCCGAGGGGCTCCGCTCAGATGATCAATCATGCGTCTCTGTCTGCCGCCTCTCTGGTTTCCCCCCACGACCGCCAGCCCCTGCGCCGCTACGACACCCCGCCCGCAGACGCCACCATGCAAGACAACGGGATCATTATACGCAACAAGCACTGGATGCCAGAGGGGATTGCCAAACATCTGGATCTGCTCCAGCAGGCTGCTGACGGCTCTAGGTATCTGCTGGGTCGCAAAAATCACATGGCGGCCGATGCTGTGGATGCATGCTCACCTGCTGGTGTCGCGCGCAAGAAGAGCGAGGGTGCGGGTCACAGCAGCAGCGACTCAGACAGCGACGAGATAAACATTACGAGTGAGGACGACCTGGATGTTTTCGACAATGGTAGCAGGACAGAGGGCAGAGGGGCCCGGAGTAGATGCCCAGGGACACAGAGGAGCCCCGGTCCCAAGGCGCGGGGTGGCAGCGGCGCAGTGGAGGAATGTGTGTGTTACATTTGTGGTAGCAGGCTGTCCCAGTGTGGCCAGTTCAGGGTGTACGTGCAGAAGCAGGAGAGGGCTGTGGACGAACCCTTTTTCCCTTTCCTGTGGCTGCATAACGCCCCCCCTGAAGCAGCACCCCTAAGTCCTGGTGGGGGAACTCTTGTGTGTGCCACCTGCCACGCCTCCCTCATACAGCAGTGGCAGGGCTTTGAGCTGGCCAGCGTGCCCGTGCTGCAGCGTCTTTACGTCGTTCCGCTGAACGCGTCGGCCGTGGGCACGTCGCCTCACTCCGGTGGCAGCCAGGGGGCGCCGGAGCCCTCCTCGGAGGCCTGCTTCCTGTGTGGCCAGGAATGCGGCTCGGACATGCGGGTGGCCTGCGTCCAGGCGGGGGTGGGCAAGGCGCGTGGCACCATGCACTTCCCCTTCATCGGCCTGTTGCCCCGCCCACCGAATGCCCGGGGGGTGCGGGATGGCCAGGTGCACTGTTGCGCTGTGTGCCACAGCATCCTGGAGGATCTGTGGGCGGCTTACCGACTCTGCCTCAGCGAGGAGCTCATCGCCTCCGTCGGGCCCTTTTTGGGGAGGTACCACCAGGTGATCAGCATGGACCCCCCCCGGAGTGGGCCCCGGACGGGCCTCGCCTGCGTCTGCTACCTCTGCGGCGCCAAGCTGGATGCCGGCGGAGAGTTCCAGTTGAGCGTGAACCCACCGGGCCGCCGCGGCGAGCGCGAGCCCTTCTTCCCCTTCCTCACGGTGCAGCCGCCGGCGCCGCACGCCAAGCCCGTCGACCCCACGGGCCTGGTGTCCACCTGTGCCCTCTGCTACCACGACCTGCGCGCCCAGTGGGCTCTCCACGAGGGCCGCCTCGACCAGCCCGCCAGCAGCCCCTGGTCCCGGCAGTACAGTTGCGACACCTTCGTCTGCTTCTTCTGCCGGCAGGAGAGGAGGCGTTGTCTGGGCCTGAGGGAGGTGCAGGTAGCGCGGCTGCCCGTCTTCCTGTATGCACCCCGGGGGGGGCGCACTCTGGTGGTGGATGATGGGAAGAAGCTGATCATTGGTTCCTGTGTGGATTGTAAAGCGATGGTGTTGGCGGGGCAGGCGATGAGCCAGAACTCGCTACTGGGAATCTCCTCACCTCTGGCCAAGCACAAGGTAACCATGCCACTGGTTTCGTCCTAAGCCGTGCATCTCAGCAGTGTGTCGCTTCCACTGTGTTGTGTGACCTGAATCTCGCTCCAGCCCGTTGGATCATACATTAGAATGAGTTTGACTGTTGTGAGGATTAGCCGTTTGCTAATTACTATTAATGTCTTGATGTTCGTTCATAACAGACTTTCCGGCTGTTTGGAAAGTGCCCCCAGAGACATCAGCTCTGCTGGGTTTTCTGTGTTTTCCCCACTGTCTCCCCCCTAACATGAAGCAAAGTGCCGGGTAGAGAAACTTTGGTGCCCTGGAGAAGTAAACATTCAGCTCTGTTTGGTTTTTCTGGACTTTACGATAATGTCACATCCACGTCAAGCTCAGATCTGGTTGTGTTGCTAATGTTGGAGAGTGTGTGTTTGAATGAGCGGGTTCCACGCTGTCTGTCGGGGGTGGCTGACCGGTCTGCGGACTTGTCAAGCTGTTTCTTGGCACTGCTGTCATTTAACTCAAAGCTCTGTGAAACTGGGTTTATACATGAGGTGAAGGAACCCCCCCACAGGCAATCAGAGCGATGAAGAAGGCAGAGAGATTCACAACCTTCAGGGAGGTTTGTGTAAGTACAGTAAAGTTCGGGGGTCAGAAAGGGCAGCTATGTTAGTGGTGGCAGGGGGGGGGTGGTAGATATCCAAAAGCTGGGTCTCAGAAATCATTCACATTGACCAGTTCAGATCCTTCTGTTTGCTCTTCTGTTCACTGATCTATATTTCTGTAGGTCTCCACAGCTGGATAGGGGTCCCGCCAAATCTGACACAGATATAAGATATGATGGAGCTTCTGTGAAGCAGGCAGGCAGTTGTGACAGATGCGTGTCTCGTTTTATGTTGCTTATGTTGTGTTCAGCTTGCCGGTTGTCATTCCCAGTGTGCCCAGAGGGTCACCAACCTGCCCTGAAATAGAACTGCCTGACCAAAGCTCGCTGAGGCTTCTGGGAAAACGTCTGAAAGATTCAGACCCCGGTGACCTGGAGGGTATCTTCGAGGAGAACTGGGAGGCATGAGGACACTGGGGCCCACTGGTGTGGGGATGACTTTATGGCTCTGGAAGGGCTTGGGACAGGCAGGGGCCGTGGGGGGCTGGGAAACAGGTGCTGTGTCCTTCTGTGACACGCGATCTGCCTGGGGTCATGGCTGTCACTGCGCTCGTATCATGAGAAATCCCACATATGTTTCCTCCACTTCCTGCCTTAGATTTCCTGCAACAGCGGGTTGAAATGAAAGAGAGTGTAGGAGGGAGAGAGAGAGAGAGGGAGAGAGAGAGAGAGTCAGTTTATCTTAACTCTGGAGGTGTTTCCTCCGTCTCTGTCCTGCAGGTCTACACTTAATCCTTTATATGTTGTGCAGGACTGAACAGAATTGTGTGCTGACTTTGCCGTGTGCCCCCAGACAGTATGCTAATGTAAACACCCACCCACATGAGAAAACAAAGGCGAGGTGTTTCCCCATTCACTTTAAAGAGGTCATTACACGTGAGCATCTACATGAAATTGGACGTGACGCAGTGCTGCCTGGCAGCCAGACATTTTATATATAGCGGCCGACGCACTTTGTGGAGAGTCCTAATTACGCGGCCAAATTGCAGGCCGCGGGCCCCTTCGATGGTAATTAACCTCATGACACGGCGCCCTGGTCGTCTACCCAGCCCCGGAAAGGCGGCCCGGTGCTGCCGCTTCCCCTGCACGTGAGTCCTGGGGCTTACCTGTGCTGCGGTGTCCTTTGTGTGACCTGCTGCGGCACGGCCCAGGCCATGTGGTAGGAGAGCGGCAGTGAGCTGGAAACAGGTCGGGTCAGATCACACACACTCCTGCGTAATGATGTTGGTGCAGACACAAGTGGAAGGTGTACAAAACAAAATCATTTATTCATTATAAAACCATTGCATAGTATTCTGGACTGAATCCTTAGCTATGTTCTCCACACTGTTATTCTCTAGCTAACCCCTCAAATTAGGCGTTGCTTTCCTTTTCGACGTTGTCGTACAGTATTTATTTCTTTGTTTATTATTTGACTTTTTTTTTTTTACAGTTGAGGTCTAGAATTATATACCTGAAGCTGTACCTCAGTTGTGCAACAGGTGTGAGTGTTTTATCAGGCCTCGGTTCAGGCTCGGCCCACGGCTCTGTCTGCAGAGGCGTCCTCTGCGCCGACCCGGACCCCGGTCCACATACCACTGTGTGGTAGAGCAATGCGTACGCTTGGGAGTTAGGTCTGCTGCTGCAGGTGCAAGCGTGTGAGTGTTGAAGATGCTGGCGGGGGGGGCGGGGTTTCTCTGAAATTGGTCCGTAATTGTGAAATGTCATGCGGTTCGGGGCAGTGTATTATACGCTGTACGTGACAAGGATGAGATAATGACTATGTGATGTTAGTGTGTATGTGTTTGGGCAAGATTTTAATGTTCGTAAAGGCTGTTTCAGTACATTTAAGTTGGTTCCTTTTAAGTGTGGAGGAAAATCGAGAGTGACAGACAGACTTGCAGTTCTTAAGGCAGCCCAGATATACAGGGGGTGATTTCAAAGGCTTTGCAGAAAAAAAACACCACATTCTTAGTTTGAAAGCTGCTGGAACCTTATTCTGTTTGACTGAAGACTGAGATGATGTTCTCTGGAAAAGCAGGTCTTTTTCAATTTGTCTTTATATGTGGGATTGTTTTATTTTTATGGTGAAAATACATCTAAAATGCTGGAGACTTGTTTACATAAAATAATGTGGCCTCTTAGCAAAATGTCCCAAGATATGGAGTTTGTGGGTCACAGAGACTGGCTCAGTAATGCCCCTACTGGGGGGGGGGGGGATTCGTGGCAGCCTTCTTGGATCTGCTTGGAGTATTTGGGGAATGAGGAGAGTTATCGGGGGGGGGTTAGCTGTGAGGCTGAGTTACTCTGCCTTGTCTTCACTTCGCTCCTCCATCTCTATCTCTTGCTGGAGCTCCTTCTCAAAGGCTTCTGAGTCTTGCTTTTTTGTCATCTTGTGAGGGTTTTCTGTAGGCCTTCTGATGGTATTATCTGACATACGTGGCTGTCCGCATTCCCGCTGTGCCCTCCAAGCTGCACGTATCGCTGGGTAAGTGGTCCGGCTAGATCTGGAAGGTCTACCTGGGTGTGGCGGTGCAGCTCTGAGGGCGGGGCTGTGTGGGTATGGGGATGCTGGGTTGTGATTGGCCGTGTCCTTTCCCCGGTCCTGCTGGGCCTGCCTGGTAGAACGCTTTGGTGGGTGGCCCAGAGTGTACCTCTGCCCCTCATTCTGTGTGGTACTCTGTGAGCTCCTTCTCAAATCTAATACAGATGCTGCAGTTTTAATGCACACTCGATGCCAAAAACTTCCACAAGACGTCCAAGCTATTAGGCTCTGATGTCATTTCCTGTGTGCCCCGAGGAAGCAGGCTGGTAAGTGAAGCCATGTAGAATTTTGGATTTTGGTTTGGTGAAGCTCAAGACCTGTACAGACTGAGTCAGCTGGTCTCAAACATTGATATTACGTACGTGTTTGGAATAAAATGACCAAATAAGAATCCAGCACTTGAAAATGACTACTCCATAATTCATTCATACTTAAATCTGTAAAAAAACTGTCTGGATCAGGCCGGGTAGAGGATCACTGAAATTGGTTGTGAAAAAGGTTCGTGCTTGTTCAGCTTCTGGGGTGTTTTATTAAGTAGTCTGTTGGCTACTGGGAACTACTTTATACTATCAAATTAAATTTTAGCTGTGAAAAACCTCGGTGTGGAAGTTCTGGCTTGAGGGACTTCGAAGGAGCTCAGTGGAGGTATAGCACTCACACATACTCTGGATTGTACTCACACATACTCTGGATTGTACTCACACATACTCTGGATTGTACTCACACATACTCTGGATTGTACTCACACATACTCTGGGTAATATGTAAGGTACTACGTTACTGACTGGGACTACTAGTGCACTGGATAACATGGCGTTTTTCCTCTGGGGTACTGAGCCGAGCCGTACCCAAGCCATGAAGGGACGGTAGTTAAAGCGCGGTTCCAGCTCACTTTGGTTTTCCACTGCAGGAGGGTCAGCTCGATAAAGGCGGTGCTGGGTTTAGAGAGTGACAGTGACATAAAACACGGGGTACATCATGATTTACTATGTGTTATTTAGCATCTAACGCTAGACGAATTAGCATTCCCTTGCGTAAATTTGCATAAGTGCATTTGTTCAGCTGTTCTGTATTACTTTTTCAAGTATGAGGCTGGGAATTCTCCAATTCGGAGTTGTCAAGAATGCAATAATACATCACGGTGTGTGATACTACTAATAATGAATAATATATAAAATATGCCTTTTTTTTCCTTCAGATGTATATTGACGCCATGCATCTCAACCAATCAGAAGATGACGACACAAACAGTTTGGTTTGGCCACGCTTTGGGCCCTGCTATTAATCTCTGCCAAGTCAGCGTGGGTATGGGTCAGGGATGGCTCACATAATTTATAATGGAAATCCGTCTCTTTGCAGTTCGGCTCGGGTACACCTTGGTTCTTGGTGGCAGTGGAAAAGCACCAAAAGACCCTAAGATATCATGGGTTCCTAATCTCCTCATTATGTCATAAGGAATGGATTTGCCAGCTGCTTTAAGGGAGACACAGGTGGTTATGTAAAAGTGCGCTTTAGTGTCTTTTCTGTTTTGCTTCGTGATTTTTGATGCAGTGATAATAATGCTCCGATTCTCGACTTGTAGCCGACTCATCCCTTGGCCTGACTCCGATGGATGGGGATTTCCTGCTCTGTCAGGCCTGCTTTGGCTCTGTGAAGCAGACTGGATCTCCCTGATTTTATGTGACAACTTCGAATGGGATGGGCTATGCAGCAAAAATGAAAAAATTATAAGTGGAAAGAAAAACACCACTCAGGAAGAATTAATCTCCACCCAACGTTTTCTTTCCATCTGAAACGTGGCCCAGGTTGAAAAGGCATGCAATCCATACACATCCA